TTATATGTTTCATTGGTTGATAATGTTTTCAGTTCCCCCTCATCATCCATTCTCTGCAACTATCATGTAGCGCTGCGATAAATGAGTAGAACTGATGATATATATTCTATATTCTCATGTATGTCTCATATTCGAGTGTAACAATTTAAAAACTTGCTGTCATAGATGGATTGCTGGCAGAAAGTTTAACTTTGCATTCAGAATTCGTGTCCACTATCTATTCATCATCGTATTATTTGATTACTTCAGTGTCAGGTAATTGAATTTTTGGGTTTTCTTCGACCGAGCCTGTCAAACCTTGTCTGTATAGGCTAATCTATTTGTTCGGCATTGATTAATAGCACAGTAGTTGGACAGATTCACGATCTATTTTTTATTCCGGTTATCTCCAAATGCATTTACGTGGTTTTAACACAATCTTGCGCTATTTTTTGAACGTGCTGATTCAAATCACCTCTGACGTTAGCTCGGCAGAATTGCATGGAAACAAATAGCAACCGAAAGTAAGTGAGAATTCGATAAGTTTGATTTCAACAGCACCCAACACTTTAATATCCGGTTATTATTAAAAACTAATTCCCCCATAAAAACTTTGTCAGCGCTTGAAGAACGATGCAAATCAAATATAACGCCTACGGAAATGGGAAATTATCAGCTGCAGAAATCTGACATCAATACGGTGAATAATCCTGTTTCAGTGCTTACTAGTAAAACATTTCTAGCCACATCACACTGGTGAATGGCAAAATGAGCACCTTGAGAAGAGGTGCGCAGTGCAGTCATGAAAACCAAAAGAAATATAATTTAATGATACCTCAATAAATGCAACTCCATCACGTAATAAATGTTACATGGAACTCAACCAACATCCATGAATACAGTCTAATCATGCTTCTTAAAGTTAACTTAACCAGAAATTATTAACATTTAGAACGTGCAACGATGTTCGGCAATATGTATGCGTCTCTTTTCATAGATGTTCACAATGATCGCTGTTGTGCCGCATGACTGATTCATCACTCAACTCACATCCCATAACGTTGTTTTGTATCAGTCGGTAGTATTTCAACTCAAGTGACTTCAGAACCCAATGATATGACCATTCATAAATACAGCCGTTTGTTTCTGTGGGCATTTCAATCAAGTGGAATTTATTCATCAAATGCATCGAATGATTTTGTAATATGAATATGTGACGAATGTTTGGTTTATGTGACATTTTTATGTTCTGATTTGGAGAAGTGTCTTTCTAGCACTCGACTTAAAAACAAAGTAAATTGTATACTTACAAAAAAGGGAATCCACAGTGGCCTCGATGAACCTCACTATCAGTGAATTGATTGTATTGAATTTGTGTTGAATGTTGGTGCTATTTGTTGATGGTTATGGTTCAACAAATCAAATAGAATCACGCAAATTATATCGGCCAATCCAATTTTCAACTAGAATTTCGGCACGATGATGCAACTTTTAACAAATGAAATTGGTCCCATTCCAACTCACATCATGACACTGAAAGACCTCTCTCAAGCAGTTAAAAGGAATCAGAAAAAAAGTAAAGATATGACTTAGTATTACTGAAGATTATTGAATTAACTCGCACTTGAATGATCTCGCTGATGCCTCGTTCGGCTCATAAATTGTGATCGGTTTGTGCTCTGAGAAGAGAGGTGAAGACGACGACGCATATGCGCTGGAAAAACACCATAAACTCACGAGCGTTCACTGCATAATTTCTATTCTTTCACTTAACATGCACTCAGCCAGAGCTTTATTATCAATCGGATAAAGTGCCCAATAAAATCCTTATTAACTACAGTCTCAAAACCACCCATTCCAATTCTCAACATCAAATAAATTCGCTATGAGTGACAAAAAAAAATTGCGCGACAAGATTGTGAAAGACTGCAAGGAAATTTACTAATTTGGAAATTTCGCAAAGTTATATTTATATATTACTGCGTGAAACAGCTACCCACAACTAGTTATGCTTGTGTTCCATACTGCTGGTAAATGTTTCTCTTTCGTTCTTTTCCGCTCTTCAATTATCCTGCTCTGTTCTGCATGCTCCTCTTTTGAAAGCTGTTCTGTTCTGTTCCCTCACCCAAAAACCCCAAACCTGTTCTGTTTCTGCAGAAGATTGCCCGTGCAGAGGGTCGACTGGTTGTCAGTGATGATGATTAGGGTAAAAAGAGGGATTTCGAGTTCTGATAATCAGGATCTTTGAAGAATTGAGGTACCAAACATTTGGATGCAAACTCGGTACGACGACTAGGAATTCACTCTGTTTAACCGGAGGAATGAACCTCTTAACTGAGGAATATCAATCTTTCCTCCACATTTCATATAGGGGGCTCCGTTCATGCTTGCCCACCACTGATGGTAAGCCTAAATGAGATTGAACGTCGGCTCGAACGCGTTTTGTCACAAGGAACCGACGCATAATTCCCCCTACCGATTAGTCTAGCATGAATTGCTTTTTTTCAGCTGACTCAAATTATTCGAACATAAACTCTTATAAGGTATGTAAAATGCGAATAATTTCTACGACGGACCATTCCAAGAGTTAAAAGTGTGATCAACATGTGAGAATAATGTTTATTCAGAATCGGAGTCATATCCTTTGATAATTCTATGAACAACGCTGTGAGGGGATGCCTAATTATCGATGATCAGCATTTTTGAGAATTAAACACTACACATCTTTGTGCTGAAATCTTCCCGTTCTATTCCTTTAAACAGAATAGGGATGCAACAGTTCAGCTGGTATAGAAACATCGAATTGCTTATAACACAATCTACAGATGCATGCGTACAAAGTATTTATGGCAACGAACATCCATTATTGCTCGGCTGTGAAATGATTAATATGCCGATAGCTACGCATCTATTCCGTTATACTGATGCAAGCAGTTGTTTATTACTGATCGAATAGGTTACTGATCTAACGCCAACGGTTGTTATTAACACCTACTCTGAACAATCGTCGGACATACTCTCCCTCAATTAAGCTAAATGTATGTTTAGGCACACTTCGAGCCTTTCTTTTTAAAAAAACCACTAAGCAATAAGGGAAAGTGGTTACACACCTCAATAATCACTGAATGAATTACCGAAATTAAAATTTGAAAAGGATGCAATGATGCAATATTGGTGATAACAGAAACACACAAACTCGTAATGAGTTGTAGTTACTGACTGAATAAATAATGTCTTTTGTGAGGCGTGAAATTTTCAGCCGAACAAGATGCGATTTAAAAAACCCAAAACACCAACCTCTAGCGTTCTTTCGAAAAGTTTTACAGTGGAAACTTCTCTGCTCAATACGAAAAACATTGAAAAGGAATGACCACGCCGATAAGACGAAAATGTACGATCAGCATGTTAATCGCACTTTGAATAAATCGCAGCTGATATTTTCTTGAATGTTTTGATCAATTTCGTTGATAATCAGTTAAATCTCAATCGCCTTTTCTTTTGAAAATCCGCCACTCCCAATGAATATCGGATGTAAGCTGCGGAATCATTTCTCTAATCGTTAGTTTTTAGAAAAAAAAAACACATTATAAGCACTCATTGAGTTTATCTTCACGTTAATGGCATCCTGATTATGAGTGCTTTTTTAGCTCAGTTTGTTGACATCCTAAGATTACAAAATTCAAAAAAAATTCAAAATCAATTCCGATGAACTATTTCATTTGTTTAACGAACATGCAACTGCTGTTGTGTCTGAATAATTCCATATCCATTCTGAGTGGTTGCTCAATCAGATTCAATCACCACAATCAAACTTCGAAAAAATAAACTCATTACGGTTTCATTCATCTTTAATAACAAAACCAGTGAACTGCGAATGCAATCGACCCACGGAAAACTTTGAAAATGTGATGTAGGTAACAGGGATTCACTTTATGATTGAAATGGGAAGTGATCACACTGAGAGTCTGACTCTCGCCCCACAAACGAAAGTGCTTTGATGCAATTGAAATAAACAGTCGCGGTAGAGCCTCCCAGCTAGGATTCGTTACAAATTATCTCCTAAAGAACGAACGAATGAAACAACAAAATTGTGTGTAACGGAATACAACTACCTGATCAAACTCGTAACATCAGTGATGAGAAGGTGAATATGACGGTGATAGTTTTATAACAATGATAACAATAATGTTAGCAGTAAAAATAGTAGGGATAATCATTACAATAACCTAAAATACAGTGCAAAAAACAACAATATAAACGTTGCTTCCGCTGAGATGAGAAAATCTGGTATCGCTGAAGGCGTGTCATTTTTGGCACTTTATGGAAGATGTGTAATAATAACGAAACGGGAAGTCGTTGCAGTGGAATATGCATGACGTGAAAAAGTATTACAATTACGGTGTGATTCGCTGCGAAGACGATATTGATATTGATAGAAGAATTAATAAATGAAACATCGTGAGAATAGATGAGCAAGTTGTTTTCGCATTCACTCGTAGAATCAGCATTCGTAACAAAATCTGTTCTTGATATGATAATGATTGCACTGATTAGATCACATCCTATTTCATCCAATTCAACAAATCATTTTTACTCAACTCTTCATCAAATGTTGATTCTAATCACAGTTATAATTTTCAAAAAGCGTGATTATGATCTCAATCTGCTCTTGAGAATTTGGTATGAACTCAGTTCGAAGTTAGGAGTTATGTGAGGAAATTGTAATGTTCAATTAACCTTATTTAATCGCAAATGTTCTGCTGAAATTCTTACATATTCAGCTGTTCAATAAGACTGACCGCTTTGTACTAATGACGCATTTCTCATGTAAGCCAAAGATGGATAATGCTTAAAAGCGTAATATCGGTAAATCGCAATTACTTCAGATTGGATCAATCACAATACAAAACATCTAAAAAATAAAACGGTTCGGAAAATTCGATAATAAAAAACATTTGATTGATAAATGAACATTAGATGACTTCTCAAAAAAACTTTCAATGAATTGTTTGCTCTTATAATCGATGTTCACTGTGGATGAAAAACTCCGACCCGATGGAATCTCAGTAATCACTATAAAATTTTCAGATACTTGCTTAAATGACACTGTAATAAGTAATCATTCATTTCGTTATCTCAAATGATTCCAAGTGAAACATGAATGATCGAATGTGCGCAGAAACGAAAGCCACATAAATGAGAACTTACCAAATCGGAGACGGCAAGTGAGAAGATGAAATAGTTGCTGGGTTGTCGAATATTCTTATCAATGTAGTATGAAAAGAGAACAGCCAAATTGCCAACAACGGTAATAATTGAAAGAGCACCCATTATGATGGCTAGCAGGATCGATCCCAACGAGAGGTCACTGTCGATGATTAAACCCGTTACTGTAGATAATGAAGCAGAAGACGACGACACGGTCTCGAGAATATGACTGGCTAACGAATCACTGTTCGTTATCAGATGAGCTGATGATGGAGGTGTGGAGAGTGGCAGTGAGGAAGCTATTGTAGTCGTCGTTGCTGCTTTCACTAGCTCCACTATTATGTCTTCGTTTTCATCACCGAGATAATCGCTCATAAACATATTTACTAGAATTAGGTCGATAAATAATGATTATAACTGCACTCAAAAATGTCAAATCTTCAAGCTGTTATCAAACATGAAGAACTTCCACATCGCAACGATCAAAACGCAACTGGACGAGCATTCCATGCATCGTTCATCCTTGACTCAAGTCAGCATTTTCAGGTATCATGCAGATAGAATGTGTCGTGTTGAAATGCCTAATTCGATGAAATGATTATATTTTATTGTGCTTCCGTAAATGCCAAACAATCGAAGTTGATTATACAGATGAGAATTCGTCGAATATTTCGAAGTAAGTCGGATAGATCGAACATACAGTCAATTAATGCGATCAGTGCGTCGATGTTTGAAAAAGTTTAAGTGAAGTGGAAATGAAGAGGTATTGCTTGAAAGTTGACGTAGAACAATAAGTTAAATGTTAATATCACACCATCTGGGTGGCAATCCACTTCAATTTGTATGATTCATACACATAATGTGGTTGAGATGATAGACTTTATGCTTCGAATGGCTGAAATCCTTCAAAATTACCTCGAAAATTGCACACAGTCAAAACGTGTCATACTATCATCACATATGAAACACTGAAAACATAATGAGGTATCTTCTTGTTACAATTATTAGGGAAATATGAGAGGCATACAAGCGTATCTTCAAAAGTCACCCAAATTGAGCTTGAAGAAATGATTGATTGAGAAAAATGTAGACGTTGATTTGATTACATACCTGCGAATTTCTGGCTTGAAACTAGATTAAGTTAGTTAGCTGAATGAGGGAATTATGCGCATGAGATGAAGCAAAAGACATCGTCTCAGCAAGTTCTAAGAGGGTGTCAATTTATCGCGAAGACATAAACAAGAGAAAACCATCCGTCCATAACACACTTATATCTAAGTGTCAAAGACAGCAACAAGCCCCGAGGCGATCGGTAATTTGGAATTCGATGGTGAACGATACCGAACTGATGAGAGTGATCATCGAGATGAAAGTGCTATAGGATGGACGAATAAAAAAAATTATAAGGGTCTGAGGAAGATGTCTGTGAAAGCAGAGCCCTGTGATGATCAATTTGAGTGGAAGAAGTAGGCACGAACGAATTCAGTCAGGAATGACGAATTTCAAAAGCAGCAAGAGCAGCAATAGCCAAATAAGTCAGCTTATCGTTTGGTATAACCTCATAACATCTCATCCTTGTTGCACACCACTACGAAGACGAACATACGCCATTAACCTCACTTCTTCTCTTCAACTAAACTTCTTATCCTTCTTATTAAAGCTTTCCACTCCTCTTAAAGCTGTACATTTACATCTATATACATCCTGTGTGCACTGCGCACATAACGCCACGCCCATGCTTTCTTCATTCATCCAGGATTTTTGCGAGAAATTCGGGAGGAAATAAACATATTATCATTTTTCCTTCGAAATCAGACGAAATAAACATATTATCATTTTTCCTTCGAAATCACTTCTTCTCATAGATTTATCGCAGTCATTCCCGAACGCATGATAAACTAATCGAAATAGTTCAGTTAAAAATGAGTACATTCTCAGCGAAATGAATTCTTGATTTCTTTCGCACCGTTTGATCGGCACAATTGCATTAATAATGAAAATGTGGTTATTGATGCGTTGCAACATTTACAAATCACAATTTTTTACAACAGCTGCTTGCAGTAGATTCTCTCGTCATCATTTCGAGCAGGTTTCCGCAAATTTTAGAGGCTAAAGGAGTGAGTTTTGTTTTAGACTCGGATCTAAAACATTTTCTTCCAATGTGAATTTACGACATGTACGGTTGACATTCAAATTTAGAACTGTCAGATGCAATTATCAGGTTCGCGAGGAAATATACTAAAGTAGTCATTAGATTTATACAACTTACCAACTGGATGGATTTGAAATGGAAGAATTTCAGATGTGAATTCACTGTGCATGCAAACAGCCACTCAAAAGATTTACCGAATTCTTCAATCAGTCATTTTAATCACTTCTCAAGATTAGCTCGCGTGTGTCATGAAGTCAAAGCACAATACATTCCTATTTCATTGGCCCGTTCTCTTTATTTGATCAGTTGTTTTTTGAAATAACATTATGGAATATAAATCTGTGATAACTACTGTTCGGAAAGGAGCCCCACGTTGGAGGGGGTCGCGACGATTTCTGGCGAATCATCTCCTCCACAGATGTCACAAATGTTCAGTCCCCACGGGTGCTCCTGCTGGAAGGATTCCTTGATTGGAGTCCACTGCAGATGTGGGAAATTTTGAAACCTCTCTAGAGCACCAGCCGATATTTATACTTCGAGGAATATAATTTTTTAGAGCTTTTGATGTATTTTTTAGAGCGTGGCAACGGAAAAGTTCAAGCCGTAGATTGGGGCGATAAAGCATTCAGTTTTTTCATCTTAGAAGGATTAAAGTTCCTCGCAAGAGGGTGAAAAATCCGACTGCTGCATCGTCGAGACCTCAGGTTTGGAATATTCGGCGCAAAGAAATGAATTGACGTGCGATGAATTGTGAGTTAGGTAGTCATCTATGAAACGCTTGCTTCATTAGACGAGGATCATCATTCGAGATGTATTTCTTACGACGCAATGTTATATCAGGCAGAAATAATAGTTCATTGAAATGTTCTAACTGCGCAGCAGAGTGATACATTGAAATGAAAGATGCTGATGTACAAATTGACATTACCCAACAAATGCAGCCGAAACGAAGTAGGGTGCAATGAGGCAGGGGGATTGATGCCTGATAAACTGATCCAACTGCGTGTTTTTGAAATTCTCGGCTCCGACTTTAGCTGCGCGTTTTTGAAATGTTGACTCTGGAGCCAACACCGCAGTCTTCAAGTTTCGGCTCCGGCTCCAGCTCTGGCTCAACACTTCCCAGATTTCGGTTCCAGCTCTGCATTTTCTATAATTCCACCTCCAACTCCGTAGCTTTTAATTTTTGGCTCTAGCTCCAACTCTGGCCCTACGTTTTCGAAAATTTCAGCCCCGGCTCCGCATTATTTAAAATTTTGACTCCAGCCCTACCTCCACATGCCAAAACTATACTTTCTAATTTGCGGCTGCCCTTCCACCGATTTTCAGGGGCCACCGACCCAACTCTACTTATATTATTAGATAATCAATGTAATATGAGTTCCGTTCCCTTGGAAGTTTCGTCAATTTTCAAGAACACAGTTTACTGCATCCAGTTTTCGGCTGCGTCTCAAGTTCCGGCTCCGCATTTTACTATAATTTTGGCTCCAGCTTCACCTCCATATCTGTGTTTCTAAAAGATCTGCTCCAGCTTCGGCTCCATATTCTCAAAACTTCAGCTCTAGCTCTGCGCTTTTCAAACATTCGGCTGCTGCTTCACATTTCCAAAATTTCATCTCCAACTCCAGTTCTAGTTTCGCACTTCTGGAAATTTTGGCTCAGGCTCCAGCTCCGCATTCGCGGAATTGAAAGTTAGACCCCGGTGTCGATCCATCTACGCATATTTCAATTTTCGATTCTTGCTCTGAAGTCTTAGCTCAAGTTATTGAATGTTACTGTAGTTTTTTAATGGGATGAAGAAAATTCTTTTGGCTCCGAATCTTAGACACCACTACGGTCAGGCGCTATAACGTTACAGATTCCAGTTTTCACGCTATATGGATTTCTCTCCTCATCCGTGGGGAGTAAACCTTGGAGATTTAGTTGCGCAGTTGGTGAGGAGAACGCTACAAGGACTTTTACAGAATTTTCGAATACTGAGGCACATTAATGAAAAAGCTGGTATCGATAATCGCTAACCTATTGAAAAATTATCTTTATCCCTCAATGACTCCATTAACGGAAAATTAGCGAAAATTTCATGCTGCCGATGGAAAAGATCATTGGTGTGGAGTTTATCTTGTTCACTTCAAATGGGTTTCGGCTTGCAGTGAGACCTCGGCTTATGGTTTGGTCTACACAACAACTGCATATGCGTGATTTTGTGCAGCCGAATGCTACTCACATGCGTTTAAGTTTACGATGGATTTAATACAACAGAAATCAAACTATAACATCATCCATCCTTCACCATAAGTATTCCGTACTGCGCTAAAATACACAACAGCGAGTAGATCATTAGCAGCAGAAAGCAGGAAAGAATATCCAGCGATAGAAGCCAAAAAGGACATGTTGTAGCACTCAAAAAGATATATTGAATTGTTTACGGTTTTTTTACAAATAATAAGTGAATCAAGAAAAAACACAAATGAACAATTAAATATAATATGCAAACATGTACAATAGAAATGTACCATTATAACAAACAATAATAAGAGAAATAAAAGTGGCAGCAACAGTCTACGGCTATGAGACATATGAGCAAGCAATCACGGTTTAATGATATTTTATTTTCGGATTATTCATCAAATCAAGAAAGGCTCTGAAACTCTCGATCAAATTGCAGTTGTCAAGCTCAACAGTTGGTTTGTTCCATATCGGAATTGTAGTGTTTACGTACCATTAGCGTGAAACATATGGAACAATTGATCTATGCACTGAAGAAAGGAATTAAGTTCTAAAGGAAGGAATACCAATAAGGTCTATCCACTTAATCTGTGTGATGATCAAGACTACACTTCGACTGAAATATTATGAGCACCGTATTCAAGCCATAGCTACCTTCAATCTTGCCCAGCAACATGATGTTTCTTCGTACGAGCTGATATAGCAGGTTTTCTGATATCTTGAAGCCAGGCTTAGGCTTAGGCTTAGGCTTAGGCTTAGGCTTAGGCTTAGGCTTAGGCTTAGGCTTAGGCTTAGGCTTAGGCTTAGGCTTAGGCT